GTTTAATAAATCTATTTTGTTTAAATGCACCAAAATAGGTCACCTTTATTCACGGAGAATTTTTTTTTAAATATTCATTTTCATAATGGGGTGTACTCGTATATGCTGAGCACTGTACATATATATATATATATATATATATATATATATATATATATATATATATATATATATATATATATATATAACTATAACAAACTTTAAACTTAATAAGCTTTTGGTTAGATGCTAACTGCATTTCTGCATTACTCAGCATTACATTGTACCTTAATAAAGTCATCCAATCTACAGGTCTGACTTTGAATAGTCTAATAACTAAATCAATACATTGAAAGCTTAGCTTGTTTTCAGCAGGTAAGAGAGTTTAATGTCTATTAATCTTAGCGCGTGTATCAAAACACAAGGCCTTCGTGTGGTGAGCTTCATGCGCCATTAGTGTCATCTAGAGGATTAGAAGATGAAGTACGTTTTCAAACAACCTCAATCTCCCCACCTCCTTTCATAATATTACTATTATTCATAATTAATGACCAAAGTGAGAACATGATGTGTGGCAAAACTTACCTGTGGAGAAGAAACTCCTCGTCTTAAATGAAACCCAAACATTACTTGGATTGGACATTGGACAAAGCTCCGCCAGTGTTTACACTCATTCATCTGTCTGTGGTTATTTTGGGGAGCCTTTGAGGTTTCTCTTGCGCTTCGGTGAGTGAATGTGAATGTATTTTTTCCGTGTAAACACTTCAGCTGTGATCCAAAACAAAAAAAACAACATAAGCTCCAGCTGCTTCTGTTATATTGATTACGGCTGATTACGAACTAATCATAAAGACGCACAACGCCACCTAGTGAGAGGGAATGTAAAGGACCCTATATGTTAATTTTCGTTTTTTTTATTTTATAATATAATATAATATAATATAATATAATATAATATAATATAATATAATATAATATAATATAATATAATATAATATAATATAATATAATACAATAATAATTGGAGCAATATAGCTTACACAAGGGGTTTTGAAAACAAATTCACGCCTTTAAATACAAAACCAGTCTTTAAAAAGGGTAAAACATCAAGGTTTTAGAACTTTATGGTTTTATTCCTCGGCTCACAGCAAGAAGGTTGCTGGTAAGAGACACGAATGGGTTAGTTGGCATTTCTGTGTGGAGTTAGTTCTCCCCGTGTTGGCGTGGGTTTTCTCTGGGTGCTCCGGTTTCCCCTTGCTGAAAAATCCAGCTTAAACCAGCCTAGGCTGATTGGCTGGTTTTAGCTGGTCTACCAGGCTGGTTTTAGAGGGGTTTTGGCCACTTCCAGGCTGGTTTCCAGCCATTTCCAGCCTGGTCTTAGCTGGTCAGGCTGGAAAATTACCAGCCAAATCCAGCTAAAACCAGCTTGACCAGCCTGGTGTAAGCTGGATATAGCTGGACTCCCAGCTTGGCTAGGCTGGTCAAGCTGGTTTTAGCTGGTCATCTCCCAAAATTAGAATATTTTTCAATAAAAATTGAATATCAACATCCTAAGAGTTCACCCTTAGCTGATGATTGATTATAAAGCGTGTTTGGCATGTTGTCCTGGGAGAGAGCTTGTGAGATCCTCGAGCCCGGGGCTCCCTCCAGTTTCAGGGCGAGAGGCGAGTCTGAGCTCAGGTAGGTCTCGATAACTCCACTGCTTGATAATGGTAAATGTAGATTATGAATAGTGTATGCTGAATTCAACGCTTGTCTAGATGTTGATTTAGTTTTGTCAATGTACTTATGTTACAGGCTTTTGCTCTGTGGGAGAAAACCGGGGAGCCCGAGGGAAACCCACGCAAACACAGGGAGATCATGCAAACTCCACACGGAAATGCCAACTTGGCCAGAAAAGATCTGAGCCAGTGGCATTATTGCTGTAAGGCCATCATGCTTACTATTGGACCTCCGTGCTGCCCTGACAAGGAAAGGGGAGGAGTAAGGGTGGAAGGTAAGATACTCTGGTTATTTATAGTAGATTTAGGAATCGTCTGATTGGTGAATTGTGCGTTAGCTAATGAGGACCAGCTGCTATCAGTCATAAGAGCGTGCTCCTCTCGAAATTAAGCTGCAGTCACACTAGAGTTTGTGTGTGCGAAATTCTGTTGTACGGCTCTGTGAAAAGGGGCGGGATTAAACAAGATAATTAGACGCATGACCCTGCGTTTCCGGTCTGATGCATTTGCGTGTGTATGAATGGAAGTCTATGGGGAGAAAAGTCAAGTATGACCGCAGCTTAAGTTTATAACTAAACTTTACTTATTTTCTGTCTCACAAATATCAAGCTACTCCGTACCTGATGGATGTTTCTTAATAAATACAATCTTTTATTTACAACAGTGTGTCCTATAGTCTCATCCTTCATATTTCTTCCCAAAAATTCCTCAATTTTCTTACTTTTTGTTTTATTTTATACAAATGGCATCCTTTGTATTTCATCTATTTCATTTATTTGTATTATTTGTGTGCAGGCATTCATTGTCAGTGTTAGTTTATGATTTTACCAAATGATCCTGTCCTACATCTCTGCGGACCCGGTACCTTTCAGATTTAAAGGGCTAGCATTGCACCAGACCCCCGTAAGTGGTGTCGTTTGAAAGTGTAGAATCTATATTTTATGCACATATGCATCACTTTGGTTTTTATTCTACTGTACAAAAGTTATTTACACTTAAATACACAGTATTTTGGATATCCGAGCTGGGGATTGAACATTGGTTCATTTTCATATTTTTTATATGACACATGTACAAGTTATAGCTCAAATGAAAGCTCTTGCCGGTGCTCATACAGTTCTAGCATTCTTTTAACTGAATTATATTCATATGTCAAACAGTTGTTGAATGAATCGCTGTGTTTCCATAGCACAGAAGTGAAAACAATACATTTATGATCACTAAGCAGCCCCAGATAGCACAGACAGCTGTCATCTCTTACCTTATGCTGTGCGCTTCAGGGTCGTTTCTCCTCTGTTTTTGAGGTGATGTGCATAAGTAAACCTTTTATTTGTCTGACGTGGTCCAAACACAGTGAATTATGTTTGATTAAACAAAAGAATAGTGAAATTTGAAAACAATGATCGCTCCCTGTGGCTTGTACAGCACCTCTCATCAGTTGGAATACAATAACTTTTGCATAGATTATGGTGGAGACATTTTTCTGTTTTCCTATGATTACAGACATGTGCAGAAACCACCAACATTAATTACAGCACGCTAGACCACACAGAACCTAAAAGGCACACTTTCAAATTTGATTTTATTAAAAAAAATACAAAAAGTGCCTATTTTTTAGTGTTTATTATATTACAGACGACATATACAGATATTTTAAACACTTTCAATAGTGTTTTATGAAAATTCAAAGGGTTTTCTTTAAAATGATACCAAATTTTTGCATTAACACCTCTGCATGTGGATTTGGGAAGCTTTTAAATTTGGGTAGGCAAAATCCAGGCGGAAATCCCCTAATAGCAGCAGAGGTTAACTGGTTAAAAGCTTTAGTAAAAATAGTCTGCCATATTTTCCCCCAATGCCCATATGTACTGGAAATCCTCCTTTGTTTACATCTGTGTTTCTATTTTTAGAGGCAGATGAGCCCATGGTATTGATATATCATGTGTTATGGTCAATAAGCAATAAACTGAATTAAAATAATGCATTCTGACATCAAGGTTTACACAAACTAGTTCATAACTCCTCAACAAATCCTCTAGTTCAAAACATTTATTTTAACCTAATGACAACTCATACCATGCTGCTGTGTAATGAACTAAATGGATCCTATGTATACATACACAACTGGCAATATTAAATAATTATGATAACTAATAACTTGTAAAATGACTCCTATTTGTATATTCATTTAGTGTCTGTACCCTATGGTGTATACAAACAGGAGTCATTTTCCTCGTTATAGAGTGCCATCTAGTGGGCAGCCTCAAACAGAATTAAAGAGCCCATATTATGGGTTTTTGAAAATTCCCCTCCATGTAGTGTGTAACACAGCTCAAAGTGAAGTGAAGTATCCAGCTAAGGCTTAAATCTGTAAGAATACAGTGTTTAAAACTGTTGATTCATTTATAAAAGAGTCGACTCATAGTGCTTCAAACGAGTCGCCTTGATACCGAGTCATTAGGTGTTTCGCCATGACGTACGAACGAAACCAAGTTATTCACGTGCACGCGCAAACCCGGGAGATTTCAAACCTGAGGCCCCGCCCTCTGACGCAGAAACCCAGACACACACACACACCCACAAACATGCCGGTCGATTGAAGTCACACTGCAGATGGATATATTGAGTCTCTACCCAAAGATGAAACCTCAGCATTATAACCAAGCAGTTGGAAACTACTGGAAACTTCTGGAAACTGCATGCTACAAAGAATACTTCATTGGTGTTTGTTAAAGGAAGGATCAGTAAAGAGTAACACACTGATGGACGTCAGGATGGATTTTTCTTCCTCCATTTCTCAAGTGTAAGTACGTGCGATTAAAGTTGCCTCGTTGACTCTAGCTTGCAAATGTATTTAGTTGTGATTTGTTACTTGTAACCGCGTGTACTGTATCAGGTTAACTGGCTATTTTCTCTTATCGCGTGCAAAGTCACGTTAAAAAAAGCGACGCGTGCTGCGGCTCCGTGGACGAGGAGTAGTGTGTGTGTCTGTGTGTGCGTGCACGCGCGCTGTCGTCCGGAGGTGTGTGTGTTTGTGTGTGTGTGCGCGCGCGCGTTGTCGTCCGGAGCAGGGTTAAGTGCGTGTGTGTGTGTGTGCAATATGTGTGTGTAATATGTGTGTGTGTGTCTGTGAAAAGAGCAGAGTGAGAAGCTAGGATATCTCCTCAACTGTTTTTGGAGTTTTTGCTCAATAAAATAGTCAGTCGTCTGTATTTTCAAGTCCATAGTCTGTATTTACATTGACCCACTGGCAGCTAAACTACACGCCTACGCTATCGAGCGTGTATGAACTGTGATTACTTTTATATTGCTGATTAGCTGTTTGGCATTTCACTCTCTGACTGAAGGCAGTCGACCAATCGCAACAGACTGTCATTGGTCCAATCAGCGCAGATTAGCTTCGCGCTAAGGAGGGGTTTGGGAACAAATGAATCACTGGACG